GATCAGGACTGAGTCAGAACGAGTCACTCTTTTTTTTTCTCTTTCTTTCTGGAGTTTCCTAAATCTCTTGCTCCCAGGAAATATTCCAAAAGCAACAGAAATGGGAGGAGAAAGGACAGAGGGAGGTACATACAGGACAGAGAGCAAACCAATACTATTCTTTACTTATGTTGTAACGCACACGCTATGCACTTGCCAAAACTCCCACTTGTCCAATCCAAGTAATCAATTCACTGTGTATACACAGACCCAATAGAGTTTCATAGATATTATGTTTGTTTCAGCACTCTTAAATGCCAGAAATAATAAGCAGCAGCTGAGCCCCAGCAGGAGTTTCTTGTTCGCTGTCTTTTTAAGTGCACTTCCTGTACTAAGCCCCGCCCACCTCAGTGTTTTTCCCAAGTAGTTGGATCAGCCTGTCCTGTCTTGTCTGTTTTACGTCAAAGTACCACGAGTGTTAGGGAGTGCCCTGACTCACTCTTCCACACACATACACACACTCATTCCTGAATAGTGTGAACTACATGCGTGCACACAAACGCATACTTGAGAACACACTCACCTCTGCTGTAAGTTTAACCCACAATAGAATGTAATTACACACATACGGACACAGTTAGACTGTCAGACGAGTTTACAAACACTTCAGTCTCTAGCATGTGCTGAACTTTCTGGAACAATACCGATCATTCCTATGATGACACTTCTCATCTAGTCCAATCCTTTATGCTAAATGATATAGCTTCCTGTTGGTTTACACCCAAGCTCATTATTTAAATACAGTCCTACTGAGTGTATACTTCATTTGCAGCATTATTTTGATCATAGGAAATGTAAGCATGTGTGTGTCAGCGTCAGATGAATCAGTCTTATCACAGGATTTATAATGACATTTCATTTCAGCACTTTTTTATGTGTGGGCGTTGAAGGATGGCACTGTTTTTAGCAATGTGTGATGAAATATGTTTTTTCAGAAATACATTTAGAATCTCAAATCGAGCCAGTCTGTATTTCTTTTCAACAAGGAAATAAAAAACGCTCCCCGAAACATGATTCCAAACTGCTGAATCACCTATAAGACAGAGACAGATAGGGAAAAATGAGTGACACTAAAAACAAGTCAACAGTTGAAGGAGGGAAGGACATATTATAATGTTACATATAGGTTATGTCACAGGAAATGGGATGAACAGCTTGGCAGATGTGACATAAATCACCTCTAATTGATACATTCCAAGAGTCTGTGTAGGCACATGAAGAGACAAAGTGACTATGGACCTTCTAAGACCAGTAAAAACCAACACAAACCAGTATAGTAAAAACAGGTTAAAACAACCACAAACGTGTCGCCTCAGACCAGCAGCGTCAGAGAAAGCATCATTAGTACAACTGAAACCTGCTGAAAACCGGGACAGTGTCCCGTATACTGTATATACAGCAAGTACAGATGGAAGCATATTTATGGCATCCGAGTTGTAAAAACATTTAAGAAAAGTCGTGTGTGAGATCGTAAGACTGCAAATGTGCTCAAAATGATTTATTTGAAGATGTGAGGTTTTGTTATTTGGGCAAGTTAATGCTACAGGAAATGCCTGGGTACCAGCTGTACTGTGCTGACACACACTCAAGCACGTACACAAGAAAACATTACGGCTCAGGACTCCTGTCATGACTAGAGCATCTTACAGATACAGATGTGTTTTCAGGAAGCGTATGGATTTATATCTGCATTTTTGCACTGTGAACATGCTTGCATGAGGATGGGGTTCCTTAATAAAAGAGCACAAGTATTTGAACAATCACTGTTATTTGAATATTAGATTCCAATCACACGAGTTCAGACAAGTTATAAAAAAAAAGTTTTAGTTTGCTTATTGGGGAAAAACCCAACTGAAATTAAGGCCAAGAAGTGAGTTACTGATCCTGAGGCGCCCTCTACTGGTCATGAGAAGTTCTTATGTGTGAAATAAGTCAAAGGGCACGGAACAAAAACTTCACTTCTAACATATTGGCAGCAAAGGGATGCTATATGGAGTTTTTGTAAAATTCTGTGGGGGAAAAAATACAAAAGGTATTTTTAGTGTAAAATAAAAAAAATAGTTTTGTTACAATTTAAATTTATAAAAACAATTATGAATATTTTAAATATAATTTAATGTTTATAGATTATACAAATTATTTTTAAATGCTCATCTCATCTTCCTTGCATATCAAAATATAAATATATACTGCTATTATATCTCATAAGGTTGTTCTGCAGAGGTAGGCTAACATTAGACAACTGAAAATAGTAGCTGGGGACCTTAGCATAATTTCGCACCATAACACCAAGAACCTGGTTAACCTTCTTTTGGTCTCGGGACGGTCTGGCCAGAGGTTTGGAAGTCCCTGGCAGTCTGGGCCCCAGTCTATAATCCAGACCTGCATACATTTTATTATAATTTAAATGTGAGCTTGAATTAAATAGTAAGAGGATAATGAAAACTGCACATGAAACAAGCTCAAACTACACCGTACATCACATAGATTTTTGAGTCTGTAATCTATGATTTAGATTAACTTTACAATTATAACATTCACAGAGAGCTTTCATTCATATTAAAGTTCTCAAGATGAGATTTTATAAAAATCTGAAAAACTCCTCTCATCATCACGATGGAAAAAGAACGAAGAACGAACAAACTCAAAAATAGAAGAATCAGAGATTTATATGTTTATTACCATAGCGTCTGCTTTGTATTCTGTCCAAAAAATACAATTTCAAATGTCAATACATCCAACTGGAACAAAGCATATGCTTTTCTTACAAAAAAAAAAAAAAGTTTTAGTTGCTTATTGGGGAAAAACCCAACTGAAATTAAGGCCAAGAAGTGAGTTACTGATCCTGAAGCGCCCTCTACTGGTCATGAGAAGTTCTTATGTGTGAAATAAGTCAAAGGGCACGGAACAAAAACTTCACTTCTAACATATTGGCAGCAAAGGGATGCTATATGGAGTTTTTGTAAAATTCTGTGGGGGAAAAAATACAAAAGGTATTTTTAGTGTAAAATAAAAAAAATAGTTTTGTTACAATTTAAATTTATAAAAACAATTATGAATATTTTAAATATAATTTAATGTTTATAGATTATACAAATTATTTTTAAATGCTCATCTCATCTTCCTTGCATATCAAAATATAAATATATACTGCTATTATATCTCATAAGGTTGTTCTGCAGAGGTAGGCTAACATTAGACAACTGAAAATAGTAGCTGGGGACCTTAGCATAATTTCGCACCATAACACCAAGAACCTGGTTAACCTTCTTTTGGTCTCGGGACGGTCTGGCCAGAGGTTTGGAAGTCCCTGGCAGTCTGGGCCCCAGTCTATAATCCAGACCTGCATACATTTTATTATAATTTAAATGTGAGCTTGAATTAAATAGTAAGAGGATAATGAAAACTGCACATGAAACAAGCTCAAACTACACCGTACATCACATAGATTTTTGAGTCTGTAATCTATGATTTAGATTAACTTTACAATTATAACATTCACAGAGAGCTTTCATTCATATTAAAGTTCTCAAGATGAGATTTTATAAAAATCTGAAAAACTCCTCTCATCATCACGATGGAAAAAGAACGAAGAACGAACAAACTCAAAAATAGAAGAATCAGAGATTTATATGTTTATTACCATAGCGTCTGCTTTGTATTCTGTCCAAAAAATACAATTTCAAATGTCAATACATCCAACTGGAACAAAGCATATGCTTTTCTTACAAAAAAACAAACAAACAGATAAATCAACATTAAAAAGGACACAACAGGCTGCTGGGAGGGGGAAAATAAATGCTTAAGCCTCATATACAAAGGCCAAGGAAGTCTGATGTCTACCAGTTCAAAGATAACTGAAAGAAGACAAACAATGACACAGACAAATAAAATTCTCTATATATGTGTGTGTAAATAAAGCCGGCAAGAGAATTTACATTCTGTGGTCCAGTAAAGGGACCGGATTCTGAGAGTCACTACGATGAATGGTGACACTCTGTTACAACAGAACCTTCAAACCAAATATCAACAGCTTCAGTGTGTGAAACATTGAACCTCTACAAGCAGAAAAAAACCTCCTAGCGACCCAAAAATGGCCATTCTGGACTGGTCAAGCAGCAGTCAAAGAGTCACCACACAAAGCGAAGTCACAATTAAAAGCATTTCAGGCCTCAATACACAAGAGGCTTCATTTGTTTTGAGGTTACTGCATTAGACTGGTTCACACATTGTTCAAAAGTAACAGTTCTGCAGCGTGGTTTGATTCGAAAGAAATGTTTATGCCCATCTGCCGTTAATCTCTCTGGATAATAATTACTATGACAATAATATAATAAAACAGTAAAACACAAAGACAGCTCACTGTCACTGGTCGTTTCCCTCTTTGCATTCATTCAGTGCTGGTGTTTTGTTTTTTACATTTTTTGGTAAGTCTGACCTCCTGCGCTCAACACACACCATTTAGGTCATGTGACAAGGGACAGAAGCATGAATGTATCTGTATTGCAGCAGGAAAAAAGGTAAAAATAAAATTAGAACTCTGTCCCATGAGTCGCCGTCCTCTAAAAGGGGAATAACAAGTGAAAAATCTCATTGTACTTAATACTGCCACCTGCTGCCACATTTTTGTTGTAACAATCAATCAGCCAGGTTAACTTGCTTTACCTTGATTTCCAGAGCTGGCATTAAGTGAAATGCACGAAACTTTGGACATAAAAATCCATGAGGTCTAGTAAGAATGCTTGCTTGATTTGAAGTGATTTTAGTATTTCAGTTTAATTAAAAAATGAAATGCGAGTTATGGATAAATTAAATGGCCACAGCAGGGCCTCTGGAGAACCAACTGAAGTTTGTTCTGAATGTGGCATCCAGCTCCAGCATTTTAAATGGTCTGATTTGACAAAGGGAACCAACGAATGAACGAACGAGAGGCCGCTGCATCAGTCACTTGATCTTTTTTCTCACACAGACAAAGTACCAGTGTCACCTTTGGGGTATAAACTAAAGCTGAGGCTGGAAAAAAGAATGAAAAGAAAAAGCTTTTGGGATGTTGTGACAGTAGCCTAACAGAGCACTTGATGGTATCAGACATCCCAGACTACTCATGATCTCCCTTTTCTCCAAGACACACAAATACAAACAGGTTTTCAATCAGGTACAGCAGATTTGTGTTTTCAGCATGTATTAAGAGAAGCTCACCTCCTGTGCAGCTCCTACAACTTACAAATGCAACAAAAAAAATGATTGAGATACATACACACACACACACACGAAAAGTTCCCTTACTTACTGCAGCAATAACAGAGTCTTTGGATTTTCTGTTACCTATGTTTAACGTTTGGGTAGCAACACCTGAATTGTGAGGCCCTGAGGTTTTAAACGGACACACATTTATTAGATTGTGTGTAAGAGTGTGTGTGTAGAAGGAGGCGGCAGCAGTTTGGCTAGGAAAAGTCTCTGAAACGCTTTCCCAAAGACATTCGGAGAGAGTGAGACGGGCCCAGCTGAGAGAGACAGGTCCAGCTGAGAAAGTGTCTGTGTGTGTCTCTCTTTTTCTTTTCCCGCCAATAGCCAGCACATGGAGGGATAGAGAAAGAGACGGATGGGAAAAAGAGGGCATCAGTGGAAATAGGTGCGGTAACAGGCATAAGCACCTACAGCCATTACCGTGCACATAAACACACTGGCCAGCAGGGGGCTCCACGCTCCATTGGCAGCAACAGGAGTCACCTCCTCCGTGGGAGTCTTGGGCGGAGACCGTGCAGGTTTGGGAGGGGCTTCTCTTGCGATAATTGTGTCATCGGGTTTGCTTAACCCCGACGCTCCGACCTCACCGACCTCACCGGCTGCCCGTTTGCGAAGCTCTGACCCGTCGGTGAATGTCTGGGGCGCACTGTAAAAACACAACAACTAAATGTTTGCATGTGGCTGCTGGATGTGTACTACTAGAAAGAGAGAGATATTGAGAGTTTGACCTGTTTGCACAGATTTCTGCGCTGTTTTTTATTATCTCACTGAAGAAGTGGGTGGTATCAGAGTTCACCAGTTCGTCTTTGCCATTGGGTGGGTCTATTCGGGGCCGTGGTCTGGGAGGAGGAGGAGTTAATTGAGGGGGGAGATCCTCCTCATTTGATAACTCCTTCCATGACTCCTACTCACACATGAACACAAGCATTTCACTGATCGATACAGCCTACTAAAGGTGGGTGGAATGAACAAAAAATGTTATTTATCACAGATGAGTTTTTTTATATGACAATGAGGTATATATATCATATGAGGATATTTTTGCTGGACATTCAATAGCAAAATGTTTTCTATATTAAATAACAATTTAGAGGTAGTAGTATTTTTCCAATAATAAAATCATTTAAATAAATAAAAAATGACAGGGATTTTATTTATTTATTTATTTAGGCATTTTATGGCCAAAATCTATGATTATTTTTAACACTTAATTATAATGATTCAAATCAAATTAAAAATTGAAAAAAAAAAAGGTTTTATACAAAAAAATTAATTGCTCAAATGATATAGCAATGACTACCAGTTGATATTTCTACTCATGCATAATACAATACCCTTCAAATGTTTGGGGTCAAATTTATACTTATTATATATATTTATTTATATAAAGAAATTAATACTTTTATTCAGCAAGGACGCATTTAATTTTAAAGTATTTAAAGTGACAGGAAAGATTACAAAATATTTCTATTCAAATAAATGCTGTTCTTTTAAATGTTCTATTCATCAAAGAATCCTGAAAAAAGTATCATGGTTTCTATCCACCTTTTTCTTCAACGCGGAAGCAAGCCTATGGGTGAGACTTCCGGTTCATTAGCCGCTATAGGGAAATAATGAGAAGAATAACAACGTGCAATAAACGGTAAAACTGTTTGCATTACCAACCAGTGTGTTCATAATTAAGATAATACATTAAAATAATATGGTAAGAATTTTCAATATCAAGCAGCAAAAGGAGCGGTTCTGTACAGATAAAAATAGCTGGACGCGGATGACCCATAGAATTTACAAATGGCCACGCCCATTTTTACGGCAAGAAAAAGGTGGATACATTTTTTATTCAGCACAACTGTTTTCAATTGATAATAAGAAGAAATGTTTCTTGAGCCCCAGATCAACATATTAGAATGATTTCTGTGGGATCATGTGACACTGAAGACTGGAGTAATGGCCGCTGAAAATGTAGCTTTGCCATCACAGCAATAAATTACATCAAAACAGTTATTTTAAATTGTAAATATTTAATAATATTACTGTTTTACTGTATATTTCATCAAATAAATGCAGCATTGGTGAGCGTTTTTAAGAAACTTTTTAAGAAAACCTCACCAACCCCAAATGTTTTAATGGTATATACAGCATCATCCTGCTCAGCTCTACATCCTATAATACCTCAGCAAAGCATCCAAAAATTGGTTCTTTAACATGACTTTCATTACCTGTACAGACGTGTCTCCCATTATGTACTTGGCACCCTCTATGACAGCGAGGTAAGAGAAACGCAGCTGGTCAGCTGTCTGGATCAGACCCATGCGGTATCGCCGCATTTCCAGCAAGACCTCCTGGATACGTACTGATGTTGGATCTTTCCTCCGAGACATCTGAGAACACACATAGCAGTTATTTAGAGGATGTTGGAATCTTTTTACTGAGTTCTAAATAAAAGCAAGACCAAATCTGCCGGTGCTGGTCAGAGTGACTGTCAAGTGAAGTACACATGAGAAATCCAGATATCCAGTGATGCTTTGATTCAGATAAATCTCATAAATTGAAACTGTTTTCTATTTTAATGTACAGTAGTCAACATTTGAAGTGGATCAAAACCTTTCATTAAAGTTGTCCTAAAACCAAAATGCGTTCTTGTCTTAGGACAACTTTGATGAACTTTTTTGATCCACTTCAAATGTTGACTACTAGATTTTAAAATGTAGTATATTCCTGTGATGCAAAGCTGATTTTTTAGCAGCCTTTACTCCAGTCTTTGGTGTCACATGATCTTTCAGAAACCATTCTAATATGCTGATGTGCTTCTCAATTCATATTCATTATATCATTGATGTTAGAAACACTTCTTAATGTTTTTTAGTGGAAATCGTGCTTTTCAGGATTCTTTGATGAATAGAAAGTTCAAAAGAACAGCATTTGTTTGATACCATTTTTGTAACATTATACATGTCTGTCACTTTTGATCAAATTAACACATATTTGATGAATAAAATTATTCATTTCTATTTTAAAGAAAACCATCTTACTGACCCCAATCTTTTGAACAATAGAGTATATTTTATTTTTGAAATAAAAGAGTGCTGTTGTACCAATAATCATTGAATTGTATCTGCCATATGCATAAATATCAATGCCATGATTCTTGAAATGTAATAATATAAACCAATATGCTGTTGTACATACTCCATTATGTAAAAAGATTAAATATTAACCAGCACTCTTGTCCGGCAGATCTGGCATTACATACAAGCGGTCAGTCCTCTCACCAGTAGAAGGCAGGTGTCTACAAGGCAGAACGTTCCAGAGCGGCCAATACCAGCGCTGCAGTGGACCACGACAGGACCGTGCTCTAGACTCAGACAGCCCGACTCACGCACTTTGAACAGGAAGTTGAGAAAAGATGCAGGCGACTCTGGCACGCCAAAATCTGGCCATGTGGTGTAGTGGAAATGAAGAATCTCCCGTGTTTCCTGTGTCTTTAAACACACGCGACAAGCATTAATCACCACGAGCATGTGCTTGTTAGAAATAAACCTCTGGCATCTGCAATATCCTGAAACTGTTGAGTGAAGTCAACAAACCTGTCCAGATAGAAGTTCTGAACAAAACATTAAGAACATGCAACATATTTTGTAAAAAAAAAAAAAAAAAAAGAACTTTTGCTAAATGGATGAAAGTGACTAAAGTAGGATTATATATAACCTCAAAGCACGACTGGATGAGATGAAAGGAAGATCAAGTGTCTCACCGACAGATTTTCCAGCTCCAGCTGTCGTACTGTGTAGTACGATTTCACATCCTCTGAGATCAGAGTAAGTTTGAAATTTGTGTCTTCAAAAACAGCCTCCCTCTCCTCTCGCTGAGGCCAATACTGAGCACACTTTATCTGTACATACACACACACTTCTTCATTATAACCAAACAACACAAACCTCACACACACAACCCATGTACACTCTCCATATGCATGCTAGAAGCATTGCAGGCAGGTATTCAAAGTGAGTCTGTGTATCCATGTGGCAGATACAGATACTGTGTGTGTTTCTCTCACCGAGCCTTTCTCTATAACGCGATTCAGCATCACAACCCCTCGGCAGCGCTGCTCCCACACCATCTCCCAGAAATGACCACAGGTGTTTGGTAACGGACCCTAAACAAACACACAACCATTAAAACAAGCACATGCAGTATATTGTATTAATAATACGTTTTAAACATGTTGAATTTGTCCTGCAACAGGGTTTATAAGAGTAAGCAGCACCATTAACTGCCATTCAAAACTTTGGTAAGATTTTTATTGTTTTTCATTTATTTAATCAAAGATACTGTAAAAAAAAAACGAAATATTGTTAAATATTACTACAATTTAAAATAACTGCCTTCTATTTTAATATATTTAAAAATGTCATTTATTCCTCTGATGGCAAAGCTGAATTTTCAGCAGTCATTACTCATTACATATTTTAGACAGTTGTGCTGCTTTATTTTTGTGGAAACCATGATACTTTATTCAGGATTGTTTGAATAGACCGTTCAAAAGAACAACATTTATTTGAAATAGAAAATGTTTGTAACATTATAATAGCCTTTACTACCACTTTGATCAATTTAATGCATCCTTGCTGATTAAAGTATTAATTTTAATTTTAAAGTGTTAAAATTTAAGTGAGATTAAAATCTCACTAAATCATATACGATATATAAAATCTATTAAATCATATACAATATATACAAATAATTAGTCAAATAATTTTTTTAATTCTATTATATGAATTTGGTATTTTTAATTTTACTCAGAGTGGAAACTCCTGCACTCTAATGACCTTTTTCATTAGTCTGCGTAGAAAAATCACACATTTGAGCAGGTGTGAGGTACATGACAGTGCAGGTGAGAATGTGTGTTTGTGGCTATAGCTGGCAGTGCTCTGACTGAACAAGGCCGGCAGGTTGAGACGAGTCTGCTGCTGTCTAAGAGCATCAGTGCGCTAATTCATCTGTACAATAAAGAAACATGTCATGCTGACGCAACTCAAGATTTCACAACATTTCCCAGCGTTCTCTCCAGACACAGGAGAGGGAAAATCTCTCTGGCAGATGCCACGAGTGTCCAAATGGAACATCACCACAGTATATCAGTGTGTGACGTCGACTGGGGTGTTGGCAACCTAACAGATGCATAATACAAACGTCAACACAAATGTTAAAACCAGGATGGGGGGGGGTCTCTAAATAGGAAGTTTCCCCATTACTTGCTTAACCTAACATTGTTTTAGTGTAGCTAACCTTTTTGTCTTATGTATATCCGAAGTCCCACCCGAAACAAACCAGAAATTATAACTCATATAATACTGGATCATTTAGCACTAATATAATTAAAATGACCGTTTTTGCAATGGTTCACCTTTAAACTGTAAAGCAGTTTTTAAAAAATCTGTTATTTTATAACTGCATTTAGTTTGATATACTTTGATTGGCTGACAGAGCTAATGTGACACAAATACTGAAAATAATTTCATTTTGTGTTCTTTCAAATTTTAATAGTGGCCAAGCAATTAAAGCAATAAGCCCCAACGCTTCCCGTCGTGTTCACACCAGACGCGAATGTAATTATTCGCGCGAGTAGATTACATACAAAGTCAACGCAAAGACGCGAATAGAGGCGAATTCGCGCCGGGCGACGCGAATGACGCGAAATGCGCGACGCGTTTGCCGCGAACGCACGATATATATACAGTAGTAAAATGTAACACACACATTAATACAGGATCCTAACGTTATTCATCCTCCTTTGGATGGTGCTGTGAACCCAGACACGTCTGCGTTTGGCTTTCCATTGTATTTGGGACTTTTTGACAACAGGTACAAAACAGCGATTGTAGTTATCTCCACCACGGTTGATTGCGCTGTTTTTATTCGCGCGAGTGACACGAAAAACATCCCGCGAGTAATCTAGAGCAAGTGACGTGATGCGCATATTTGCTTCGCGTCTGGTGTGAACACACCATAACAACGCCCCTTAGCTGTTATAAATTCACTGCAAACCACGCCTTCACGGGGCTTATTGCTTTTATAAAATGCTTATTCCATATATGTAGTAGGGTTTCACAAAATAAAACAGAGCAAATAAAGTGTAATGATATTAATAAAAACAGTATTCTTCCACCAAACAATGTAGTTCCTCAGAAACAGTTGTGGTTGCAATAAAGTGGTTGACAAGCAACGCACAGAAGTAAACAAAGGTGTATGTTTGTAGAGTAATTTACAACAGCTTTGAACATGGCTCAATCAATCAGAATCAAGGATCTGAACTTTCCGTTTTATAATAAAACATTTGTTGTGGGCCCTGTGAATTTTAGTGATGGCCCCAAAAAAATGAATAAAGAAGTCTACCTATGTCCAGGTTTACCTGGTTTGAAATCTCAGTTCTAAGTCACGTCGGATGAAAATAAATGGCTAGATAACAAGACAAATATTTGTTGTGAAAATTCAGCATGATAAACATTTTAATTTGAATGAACGACTGTTAATCCACCTGTTCAGACAGACACAAACATTTGCAAGCCATTTTTTTTATATACAGAAAATAATTCTTATCTATTGCGCTGCAAAGAAAACTACCCAACCATCAAGATTAGCTCTTTTCTATAAGCGCCACCTACTGTCAGAGAGTGATTTCACCTTTTCATTCAGCTTGTCTGCCATTTTTTATGCCTACATGTGTCAGATGGTGTGCAGGTGCAGATAAAACATCAGATTCAGAAAATGCAAATCTGGGGTCTAAGTGTCAGTGTGTCACCTGAGTTAGTATGTAGTTTCTCTGAGCTTCTTCCACTGAGATCAGGCTGGCATTGATGTAGTCATTGCTGCCGATCTGTAGACGAATACGGCTGTGGTCAACTGTGAAAAGAGAGAGCGATTAAGCTGTGAGGCGCATCACCCATGATGCTTTGCATGTTCAGTGGTGGAACGACTCTTTTTCAGGTCCTGTTCTCAGTTCTCCACAAGAGAGAAAAACATCTCCCTGATGAAAACGCTCAACTGAAACAGATAAAACACAGTGTCATTCATTTAATGTGGTGTTTTGTGAGCTGAGAACCTTTTCAGGTTGTTGTGGAAAAAAAAAAACTCAGAGAGAGAGGAAACCACAACAGCTCTTTAAAGTCTTTGTGGCGGAAGAGTTAAAAAAGGGAGAGAAAAAAAGACATGACATCTTCAGTGTGAAATGACTTTAACAGCTCGCTGATAACAGGCCCCTTCCGTTAGGTGTCACTGACTGTGTCAAACAGGGAAGCGGCACACTTACACGGACTGACGTCTCTGTAGCGATTATGACTTCTGTTTTCTGGAAGTTTGGCGATCTTGCATGGTAGGTCACTGGACTGCTGCTTAATCTCCTACGGTAAAACAGAAGTCTATGAGATGAAAATGCTTCTTACTGTAAGTGAAACAAATGTGTGACAAATGGTTTGCTGGGGGAAACTATATGGCACACAGTTATAGCATCCAGTTAACGATGCCATTCGTCCATCACTGTCATTAAAAACTGCAAGTGAACCAGATTAGTAGATAAAAGTGTCAAACTAACTAATAATAGACTCCCTCTCATCTCTATATTGGTCACTGTTTACAAATGACAAATTCAGGTCATCTCTATGTAACTTGTTGTATCATTTATTCTGCGAGTTAGGGAAAAAGCAGCGCAATCTGAATTGTCAAAAAAATAAACATCACATCAAAAAAAAAAAAACAATTATTTTGGACCGTTATGAATATTTAGAACATCATAATCAAGTATGGAGCAGAATCAGTCCTTTACCTGGTAAACGGCGTTCCAGTTCCCGAGCTCATCGATTTCCCGAAACTCGGTTTCCATTGCCGCGTGTGTTCCGCGTCGTACGATAGATGACCCCTTGACAATACAATTAGTTATAAAGTCTATGTAGAATCACATGAAGAAAAAAAACACTTTTCAAATCTGCTTTAATTTTCTAACAGAACGTCTCCAATGGTACTGTTGCGTCGCTCTTACCGGAAACACGCTGCTCGCTCCTCCCGTAGCACTGTCCGTCTTGATCACGCCCCTCTTTCCTCACATTGACCAATGAAATTCCGTGACTGGCCATAAACTCCTGGCAAAGGCCAATCAGCGCAACGTAGTGGGGCATGGCAACCCCTTCGGCCAATCATATTACGGAGAGTTACCTCTTTATTATTCTGGGCTTTGTAGTTTTTTGTAGTTCGAGGAGTTTACACAATGTGTGTATGAGGTTTAGAAACGTGTATGAAGTAATATGGCTCATAAACTTTGCAGTTTTAAGAGTGGAATCAAATAATAACATGTTGTTATATCTTCGTCAGCAGCATTTAACAAAGTAAATGTGATATTTTGTACATCTACTTGTGAATTTAGGCTAACTTATTGTATTTTTGGTAATATTTATTATTTTTTGTATTTTGAGGGCATTTCATTGTACGAGACAATATTCACCTTTTAGGTACAACACATTTTAATTTAATCATTAAGTTTTTTATTTACCTGTATGTAAGCACAGTGCAGTGTTAATGTTCAAACTGTGTATGTACAATGTTAAAGTGGCTGACAACAATAAATATTCTTATTAGGAATAAAACTGCCTCGTTCTTGAACTGTGCAGAGCTGTAGCTGAATAATTAGGCCAACTACACTACTGTATTGTTATTATTATCATTATGGTGGTACTTGGAGATCCTAGGATCCTTGGAAAACGCAGTTTTACACTTGCCAAAAAGTGATTACAGACTCTACTTATTGAGTGAACTGTTCTTTCTGGCTCAAAATGACTTGATTTCATTCATGGTTGTTATATTTGATAGATTATAGCTCATTCAGTCCTTTTTACCTGTTGAAATACCTTTAAATGGCCAATAAAACCCTTAAAACGCAGTTTTACACTTGCCAAAAAGTGATTACAGACTCCACCCCCTATTATCACATTTTCTGCATTATACTTTTTTTTCCATTAATTTACCAATTTACCAAGTTTATCAAACATTTATCTATTAGCCACTTTGTTATTATAACCATAAATACAGAGTAATATATAACATTTTTCATGAATTTCTACTGCTATCATTAACCAGTGGCCTTCTGTGTCCCCTTTATGAACAATTACAGAGCCTTCAAATCTGTTAAATAATACCATCACTCCAGCTGAATGTGAAGATCCATGTACAAACAAGGCTAAATCACCCCATTGAATTTTCCAAAGTCTTTCATCATCATTCATCATTCATCAGCTTTTTGTTCCTTGCAAAATAAAAAATAGCTTTACGCTTTGTAGTACATAAAGGTACATTCAGTAATTCTTTAGCTAGCATTAACATTGCTGTTCTTCTGTGCAAACAGGGCTAAATCACCCCACTGAACTTTCCAAAATCTTTAATCATTTAAAGCAGAATGAGTCTCTTGTAAGAAAACAGTTAGTTTTTTGTTCCTTGCAAAATAAAAAAATAGCTTTACACTTAACACTGTTTTTAACCCCCTAGCATTCAAAGATAGAAAATAAATAGACATAACATAAATTAACGTATAACTGTCTCAGCTCTCAGCACACACTCGACTTTAAACGCAGAAGTGAACATGTTGTCCTTAATAACTCTATAACAAAACCATACCAACTAAAACATAGTATTGCCTTTAGTTAAACACCTTTTCGGCTGGGCAGAGGTGTATGGTCATGGCTTGTTTTGGCAGTTTCTACCATCATATCCTCTGCGAGAGCATTTAAGTTGTAGTCATGCTCAACTAGCCTGGTATCTGCTTGGTTGGTGTTTGCCATCGTTTACATTTAAGTAAAAGGAGAAAACTTGTGTAGTTAGTGCAACAAGTGCACAAGTTGAAACAAACCTGAAAATAACTTAACTACTGGTTGGTTTTTCATGTCAGAGATAACAATTTTAGGACGTTTCAAGTTATTTTCCTCAGAGCCTGCATAAACGCGACCGCTCACTCCGCCGTCTTGGGGGTGCTGTGGGTGCGGTGTTAAAAATAAATGAATGAACAATATGTAATAAAAAAAATAAATAAAATAAATTGTATTAATTTGTATATTAATTAAAATGTATTGAAAAAAGTAGCCTAAGCCCACAATGACAAGAAGCAACGGTTAAACATGAGTCAAGTTGAATCAAACTGACTGTGAAAGTTGTTTCAACTTACTAAACATTTGTTGCCATGTTTTTTTGATTATATTCAGTGGCGTAGCGTCTGGGTATACAGGTACATATGGGCCCGGGCCGGGCAGATTGGGGGCCCGCAGAGCTGAGGGGAACTTTTAATTGAAACGAGGAAATGAATTTCCCTGCAATTTCCCTGAATTGCTCTTGTCCGACAGCTTATCAGAATTCTCAGCCCAAGTCCGACTGGAGCCTGTGTCTTTTCTCTCTCTCTCTCTCTCTTCCCCATTACACAGCTGCTGTCGCAGCCATTAAAATAGTTAGTCTTATTGACGTTTTTTTAAACTCTGATTTATCGATTTAATGAGACATTCGTTTGTATTAAATTGTTCTGATTTGTTTCATGCATTCAAATATTCATGTTTATTTCGTGCCGCAAATTTTAAAGAGGAAAATATAATTGATTCATATGCTGCTTGAACTGAGGCGAATTATCTCACTACAAATTAAAGAGCGTAAAAACACATTTATTGTTTGT